GCTATAGGGATTGTCCAGAAAAACTGGCTGCAACACGTTGAGTATTTGAAATGCACATGGCTTATCTTCAGAACAGAATCTGTAACTCCCTTTTAATATCCACCAATTCCTGAGCACCCTCAGGCACCAGGTCACCTGCACTCTTTGAAGAACAGAAGACACCCACAAAGAGCTTTCTCTTTTGTTGCTCGGCACTCAAATGTGTGTTTGAGCCAGCAGGGTGTTCTGTGCTCTAAAGCACCGGTCAGGGTAACAGCAATGCTCTCCGGAGGATGGTGCTGATGCTGACAGGCCACTAAGAATTGCCTCATCTTGCTTTAGCTAATGCAGTGATGCCATGCACCTCCCTGTGGAGGATGATCTCATCCTGGTGGGGGGAAGAAATCACGGCAGTCCTTTAAAAATTTATTACAGATTTTTATTCTGCTCTTTGATATTATTTGCTCTGAAAGCTTAGGTAAAATGAGGTTTCAACTGTAAGGAAATGCAGAAAAAGAAGTTCTTGAAAAGAACAGCAGCATTTTTACAATCTAGCAAAATATATTCTGCAGATTTTAAGAAGCTTATTTTATAATATTGTATCTGAAAAAAATACAATTAAAAAAAACCCCATGAGACAGAGACAGCAAATATAAAGGTGATGCTACAATGATCTTTACATATACTAAATAGGAAGAAATAAAGTAGCTCTAAAAGGTCCAAAGCTATGCTCTGCAAGCTACCAAAAATGACCAATGTCTCTCTGTACAGCAATAACAGCAAAAATATCTTCCCCGACATAAATGCAGTTGTTCTAATGCTTTTCTTTTGATAAGAGAAAACAATAAATAAAAAACAATAAATAAAACAACTCTTTATTCCATTCCAGCCTAGGTTTACTTATTCTGCCTGGACCTAAGGAAAATAAATTCATATCATCATGTGTCCCCACTGCCATAAGAACCACCAGGTTTCTTTTTAAAGTAACAGTTATTTGAAATGAGACTCAATTCTCATCAACAGAAATGAATGGTATAATGCTAAAAATAATACCAAAGCTTCTGAGACGGGAGAAAGCAAATAACTAAACTGTCTTTAGTTACCAACTGGATCCTGAAATATGGAGACAACACATATTTAGTATCTATCTGCTGCTACAAAGCAATGAGTACAGCACTATTAAAACACATGTTCAAAACAGACATCAGCAATGTAAAACATCTCCCTAAAGATAGGAAAAGGGCAGTTTTCTACATCACATGACTGCAAAAGAAAATGTCAAGCATTCAAAGAAGTATTTTTTTTACATGAATGCATACAAGACATATGATACTAATGTGGACATGCACATTAAAAATTTTTCCCTCTATAATGTATAATGCTAAACAACAATTATCTGACTAATAACAGAAGGAAAATATAGATACAGACTACATGAAAAAACGAAAAACATTTGAAATATACCATTACATTTTCTGTGTGACACTATCCCCCTACTAAATACTGCTACCCCAGACGGAAGCAGGCTGAGAGCGCTCTTCCCATTGCTTCTGGTCTGGATGCAGCTGCTGGAAAGCCCTGATACTGGGCCAGCATTCTGATCTTCCAAAACCCAGCATGAAGCTGTAACATCAGCTGAATTACTCTGAGTGTAGCTGGGACCCCTGAGTTATTAATTCACCTGCAGCTATTAGTCACATCACCACCGCTATAAGCAACAGCCACATCGTGTTCCTTAACACAGTGTGCTAGTTCTAAACCTACCACTTGGCAAGCAGATACCTGAAAGAAGAACTGTGAGTTACAGGGTAAAGGACTACAGATGGCCAGCCCTATCCTCCAGCCCAGAGGGAACAGACAGAACACAGTTCACCTCGGGCAGAGCCTTTTCCATGCTATCAAAAGTCGGCCACGGTGCCTGCCAGGGCCCCAAGCACGCTTTCCGTCAGGGCAGACGGAGTTTAACACGCTTTGTTCTGGAAGACCCAAATACAGCTCCCGACCCCGTGTTTCCGGTCAACGGGGCCACCAGAGAGCAGCTCGGAATTACAGCGCCTTGCTTTGCTTTTCCTTCTTTCTGCCCTCTGTTTCAACCCCTTCTCCACAGAGACAGGCTGAAAGGGCACAAGCCAGCTACCGTAAGCGTCTGCAAAGCTAACACCTGAGCCATGGCTCTGCCCCCGGGCAGGGGAAGCGGCGGGCGCTGGGCTGGCACCGGGCCACTCTCTCCTGCCTGGCCCGCCGGCAAGGCCGGGGCTCACCCTCATCCGCCCCCGCCACCGACCGACCGACGGATCGCCGGGCCTGCGGGAGCCCTGCGGGCAGCCGGGGGAGCGGCGCTCTCAGCCAGGCCCGCCCCGGGCGAGACGCTGCTCCCCTCAGCCGACCTGCTCCGGGAGAGACGCGGGCGGCCACGCGGACCTGGAGAGCCACAGCCTGGCCCACCCCCCCCGCCCCGCTTTGTTCGGCCCCACCGCCGCCGCGCCCGCATCCCGGCCCCGGCCCGCACCCCGGCATCGCCGCCACCCACCAGCTTCGCCGCCTGCTCGCTGTACTCCGACCGCGTTTTCCCGAGCCTGGCTTAGCTGAGCGCTGCTCGGCGCGGAAAAGCCCCGCCGCCGCCGCCGCCCGGCCCGCCCGGTGCTCCCTGGCCCCGCCCCGCGCAGGGCGGGCAGCCCGCTCCATGGCGGCGGGCCGCGGGCGGCGGCGGTGAGTCCGTGCCGGCGGGAGCGGCGCGCGTGAGGCGGGCCCGGCCTCTGGGCACTCCCGGCGCTGAGAGAGGCGTGCGAGGCCCGGCTGAGGAGGCACGGGGTGGCTGCTCTGCTCTCCTCTGCTCTTCCCTGCTCTCCCGGGCCGGGCCCTATGGCGGAGCACTGAGCCGCCGCGCCCTGCGGGCTCTGGGCGCTGAGCTGGGTAGGGCTGTCCTTGCTGCTCCTGGGTGTGAATGGTGTAACCCAAACCTTATCAGGTTTGCGCTGTTGCTTGAGTTCTTCTCCCTGCTGAAACAAATGTGCCGTTCTGGTACATTTACACTGTGTTTGTGCGGCCCCATGTTAAAAGCAGTGTGCAATTCTGGGCACAGTGAGGATGGTGAAGGGCTTTGGGGGGAAGGAAGCCATATGAGGAGCAGCTGAGGTCACTTGGTCTGTTCAGTCTGGGGAAGATGAACAGACCAAGATGAAAAGAGGCTAAGGGGAGATCTCCTTGTAGTGTTCAGCATCCTTGTGAGGAGAAGAGGAGGGACAGATACTGATCTCTGTGGTGATCAGTGACAGGACCCAAGGGAACGGCCTGAAGCTGTGTCAGGGAAGGTTGAGGTTGAATATTAGGAAAAGGTTCTTCACCCAGGGAGTGCTTGGGCACTGGCTCCCAGGGAAGTGATCACAGCACCAACCTGACAGAGCTCAAGAAGCATTTGAACGACATTGTTATATACATGGTGTACGTGGTGACTCTTGGAAGTGGTCATGTGTAGAGCTGGGAGTTGGATTAGAGATGATCCTTCCAACTCAGAATATTCTGTGATTCTGAAAAAATGGTGGTTTGTAAAGGAACTGGCCATTTATCAGTGGGGATAATTCCTAAATGAGCACACTCCCTCTTGACCTCAGTGAGCGACATCCCCGTGGGTGAGCTGGCCTGTCCCATGGCAGGACAACCCTCGGACAGGGTTTTTGCCCACCTGCATGGTGGCTGTCCCTGGCTGCCCACACACCTGTCTTGTGCAACAGCGCTCTGGCGCTGAGGGCTGATTCTGGCTTCATCATCAACTTTCAGGTCAGTTGGTTTCATATTTGTACATCGACCTTCAGTAGCAGAAGTCAGATAACACTGGAAGCTGTGTATTGCAGCTTCTCATAGCAGGTACTAACCTACTTTTGCAGGTCTTATCACCGGGTCTGATGTACGGAGTTTTGCACTTGCAATCCTAATTTGAGGGTCAGATGTTCCAGAGGAGTTGTGGGGTCTCTTCCACTGGAGATACTCAGGAACTGACTGGACACAATCCTGTGCCACGTGCTCTAGGATGACCCTGCTTGAGCAGAAAGGTTGGACCAGGTGACCACTGTGGTCCCTTCCAGCCTGAGCCATTCCATGATTCTGTGATTGTAGAGGCCACTTCCTCTGCTAGGAGAGCAAGATGAACATTTGTTGTTGGGAAGATGAGTAGCATTTGTTAATGTGCCACTTGTCAGCTCAACCTGAGTATAGCTAGGCTAATTTTCACTATTGTTAAGGAATTTAATGTGTTCTTCTAAGGCTGAATCAGTAGCTGGGAGAAAATCTCATGGATTTATTTGTGTCAAGGACTGTGAATTCTGCCATAGAACTATGTTGCATGATACACACCGGCCAGGAAACAAGTGTAATGTTATTTTGAGTAGCACCTGATTTGCATGTCTCAGCTTCAGTTGTCAGCAGGTGTGGGTAATATGTTTTGTCATTATCATGAGAAGTAAAGGGAGAAGTCGTCTTCCAAAAAAAGAGAAAATGAAATAGCAAGTTCTTTAAGTCATTGCTCAGGAGACATTTTTCCAGACTCTCCATGCAGTCATCCTGCTGAGTCACTAACACTGAAGTCCAAACATGTTGTTGACAAAATTTCTTTCAGTCAAGTCAAACACAAATAAGTACTGCCCTTACTTCTGGTGGGACATAGGAGAGGAGGATGCAGTGAGAATTTCCCAGTGAACTCAGAAGGCTGGTCTGTAAGTGTTCATTGTATGTGCTCTGAATAGATTTGTTTTGGCATGGTTCACACAGGAATTGAAATTGCCTTGAAAAGACTTGACATGTTGGACTCTTGAGAGACCAAGTGTTTGGACTGCAAGAACCATGATAGGTTTCAGTTTAAAGTAAGGGTTATTGCCCTTCTGCCAGGTTCAGGTATCCTCCCAGCTGTGTTTCTGCAAAAATAAGGCCTGATATAACTAGGCAGTGTAAAATTAATGAAGAATTATGGGGCTTCTCCTTTGCTTTCCTTTTTTATTGGTCACCTTGTGGGAAAATGCTCATGTAGGGATGTCTTTTTCACCCACCCAGTTAATTTACAGCCAGCAATATAAAAATGAAACTGAAAGTTTTGTTAGCATTTCTGAGAAATGCCAATTGCCTATAATCTAACTTTTCATTCCCAGAGAAGAAACTAAGAGCACAAAAAAGGAGTGAAGAAAATGCACAGGTCAGAAGATGGACAAGGGGGATAGAGGTAATGTTTGACCCCTGTTGCAGAAAAAGCATTCTGGTTTTAGACTTGATGCAGGCACTGACTATCAAGACATTGGCAGGCCTAGAACAGTGGGCAGAAATGTCAGTGTCCAGAAACTTCTGCTGTGGAAAACTTGGAGGGGGAAATGAAAGGATCTAAACTTTGGGCTTTGGGGCTCCACAAGAATATTGAAGTACTTAAATTTGCCTTGTGGATCCAGCTTGTTAAAGGTTTGAATACTTTTGAGTATGCTCATTTTCATTTTTATCTTTCACTGCAACCCAGGGGCTGTTAGGAGAACCAGGTGGTTGTGCTGGGCAGAACAAGAAGATTCCCCTTCATGTTACTTCTTGCCTCTCTTCCTCTGTTTCACAATTTCCTGGCAGTGCTTTTTACTGATTTGCAGGTGTTCCACTTACAAATAATTGTACATGTGTGTGTTTATGCTTTACTACATTACTCTGTAACATTTGGATTCCTTTATGGGATTAGAAGCTTAAAGGTTGCAAGATAGCAAGATTTACTGCATGATTCCATTTCTTGGAAAGAGATAAGATTGCTGTTTTAAGGTTGTGAAAAATACATGAGCTTTTAAAGCAGGTGAAAGTATGAGTGATCAATAGCAAAGGTCAGCAGTGGAGAATGGAGCCCTCATTTTTGATTTCAGCTCTTTTACTTCAAGATACAGAGCTCAGAGCTAAAGTCCTGAAGTCTTAACTCCTCCTATGAACTCAAATATTGTACTTCCCATACAATTAATTATCTCATTTGTCTCCTTAGCCACAAAGGAAAAATATTTTTTTACTCGTAGCATTTTTTTACTTTTACTCTTAGTATTTTTTTACTCCTGACTGATATAATGTGCCTAGCCAACAGTTTGTATACTTTCTGAGGAGTGTAATACCATTCTGTAGACAAAAATGAAAATTCCTAGGCCTTCTTTCACTGTCTTTATTCTGTTGTGTTTATCTTTGATAGTGTTAACATGAAGCTCTTGTACTTCCAAAACAATGTAGAGATGTGTAATATTAAAATGAATATCATAGCAAGGTTGGGTGTTGATTTGGAGTATTGGCTACTCCCAGTTAATTAATAAATTACATTCAACAAAACCAGAATCAAAAGCAGTGAGGAGTACGGGATATGTTCAAATTAAAATTGCCTTGCAAATGGATTAATACTGATGTGACTCTCTGTAATTGCTTTAGGAGAAATGAAGAGAAAATGGCAAGAAAGACTGAAGAAAGTGGAAGAACTAGCATCTCACTATGCAAGAAATCCTCTTCCTACAGTTTATAGACCAAGACTGTCCAAACCCTCTATGCCATCCTCTGTTTGGAAAATATTTTCTCGACAGGCTGAAGCATTTAATTATGTAAAAGCCTGTGAAGAGGTATGTTAGGTGTTTGGGAAATGTCTCTATTCTTTATATACTGCATCATAAGACTGTATGATGCAGTATATAAAGAATAGAGACATTTAAACATCATTTAAAATTGCTGCTGGCAAGTGAAGTCTTTCTCAATTTACAAGATCTTTTTCCTCCTAATCCTAAACTGCAAGTTTTGGTTTTTTTGTCCTTGTAGGTCACGTTTGCACTGGAGGTCTCTCTGAGTTGAAGTACTAGCTCTGTTCTAACATACAAGCTGATATGTGGTGCTAACTTTGAACAGTAAAAGTGCTTTTTGGGAACATTGTAGTGATAAATTTGCTCCTTCTCAAGATGAACAAGCTGTCAGGGTGGGAAGGAGAATGGGAAGGTTAGTGAGCATTGAGTAGGAAGAAGAAGGGAAAAAATGAGGAAGAAAAAGAGAGGAAGAAGAGGCAGAGACTAAATAAAAACAATGCAACTCTCCAGGGGCATCTGAGTAGCAAGTTCAGATGATTAGAAGTGATTAGTCAAATAAATATTGTGTGAAAGATATCGTCTGCTTTCAGTTTAACACTTTTAAAATTGATTGCTATTTTTAAAGAAAGTATTGTGTTTTTCTCCATACTTGTTTCAGGTATTCAGGTAATCCTAACAGCCTGTTTTCCAGAATGGGTTCTCATTGGCTTGGCAGTAGTTTTTTTCTATTTTCTTCTCAGTTTTCTGTTTTTGGATCTAAACAACATAATGTCTGAAGAATATTTGCCCATACAGCTTATACTGCCACCATGTCCATGAGGCTGCTCCTTTCAAGACATTGTTCCTCCTCCCTTTAGATCCACCTGATACTGATCAGAAAAAACAAGAGTTTAAAGAGAAAACAGTTTAAATTACTGCACAGCAAAGAAAAGCTTCAAAGGTTTACCCATGTAACAGAAATCAGAATGATGTTCTAAATTAAAACTAGATGCTACTGAGTGTGGAAATGGATAAGTGATCTGTTTATAGTTCTCTAGTATTTACTAACCTTCAACTGATGCCAAGTAGGAACTTAGGAAGATTTAAACTGGTTTTTTGAATAAAACTAACAAAAAAATGTCAATGTTTTTACTTCAAAAGGATGTTCATGTATTTGCTTTGGAAAAGAACACACGGAGTGGACAGAGGTTTTACCTTGTGACAACATATGAAGAGCTTTGGTTTTATTACACGTGAGTATTTGAGCAGGTGCCCTGTATGTTACTAAAAGTTAGTGGTACACTGGATATCCTACCTAGTAAGAGCTGTCAGTGGCCAGGTATTCCCAGAAGCCATCTGCTGCTCTGAGTAGCACAGAGCTGGACTGGGTTACCTGAGGTTTCATCTTGGCAATGGGAAAAATCTTTACAAGGACAAAACAATATATTCTATAGTGGGTTTCAACTTCCTATTGAGCAGCAGGTTGCCATTATTTCCTGTGAATTAAGTACTCTGTCTGTTGAACTGAAATTTATTAAGAGTAGGTTTGCTTTTGCTGTCAGCTTTCCTCAGGGGATCATGCCAACACATGACAAAACATACTTCTCTGACTAGTCACACACCAGTTTCAGTGGGCGTTAATGCAGGTGTCTGGAAACTGATTTATGGGTTTGCATTTGCATGATGGAGTTCCAAGTATTGACAATTCAGTCGTGTACTGAACTTTCCCCCCCATTTGTTTCTTTTACAATAAAACATTTGGCTGTGAAGTGAAAGAAATAAGACTCAATCTTTTACATATAAAGCTTGATTTTTTTTTTCTGAAACTGATGATGGGATTATGTTTTAATATAATTAGAAAAAACTCCATATAATCTGTTTGTGCTAAAGACATATGAGTGATAACCTCAGTTTTTTTACTGTAGTTTTCACAGTTCCTTGAATTTTCAACATTTCTGTATGTGTTGTAAGACTGGGGGGGCATGGGGAGGAGAGTACTCTACAAAATTAAATTCTAGGCCAGACAGTCTTTGCTGACACTTGATGCTGGTGTTAGTTACAAATTTTTCAAAGCACTATAGGGCTACTACATTTTTCAAATATGGATGGTTGATTGCAGAATAAAATATGTGAGATCCTTGTTTGCAACTGATAAGCATGTTTATCATGCTCATAATGGTTATTATGAGAGGTTGTGATTTGTTTGTGTTTCTCCTTAGTCAAGGTTGCAAAACAAGTCTTATGCATTGCTATGAAGTAATTCCTGAAAAAGAAGCTTGCAAACTTTATTTTGATTTGGAGTTTTACAAACCAGCAAATCCTGATGCAGATGGCAAGAGTATGGTCATGAAGTTAATTGAGGTAAACTGGAGCGAAGTCATGCTGTGGATGAATATGAATTTGTTGTTAATATAATAAGAAACAAAAGTATTTATCACTTTATATTGATTATGCTATAGTAAAATTAAAAGAATTGCAGACCCAGTGGTTATTTTCAATTAAGTAAAAATCCTATTTTAAATAAAGGAAGGGTTTGATCTAAGGGAGACAAAAATTTAACTGAAAGACAAAAATAAAGAATGATGGCTGTTGGACTGTTTGTGTTCATGGTAGGTTTACTTTTGAAGATTGTGTTATGTGCTCTGCCACTTCAAAGCTGTAAAACTGCAGGAATGTTTAGGTACTCTTTAAAGTAGCATCAATAAAAGTTCCATTCATATATTCCTCAGTTCATTCCCTTAGCCTAATGGTGCTGTCCCATATCAAGGCTTAGGTGAATCTCTCCTGAAAGTTTCTTTAGACGACAGTTCATTATAATTTAGATAAATGATGATGTAGAGGGCATCATGTGACTGCATGTACCAATTTAGTACCTAAAATTAAATACCTTTGCTAATTATCAATTTTTATTCAATAGTGCAGTTTCCATTTTATTGCGATTTTTTTGGTTAATGAGCTCTCTGCAAGTTCAATATGACATTCATATGTTTTTAGAAGAATATCTTCTGTTTTAATAAGATCCAATTGTGAGTGGATGTCTGTTTGTGAGACTTCTGTCACTTACATGTCTCTATCTAGAAGTGAGCAAAAGTAAAAGATTATGGAGGTAATTCCTTCATAAAGAACCCTTCATTGATACAGAATCTGGAGGGGTTTATCCATTGTGGATTTCTGCTCTGAAATGTAGAATTCCTCAGGTTAAGAAGAGGGTTTTGGATTTGCTGGGTGGAGGATCTGAGCTGCTGAAACCCAAAGCTTCCAGATCTTTAGGTTCTGAGTCCAAGTCCTAAACATGAGTAATCAGTAGCTTGGTTTATAAAAAGTTTTTTTAGAGCTAATTTAGAGTGCAATCTGTTTTCTGCTTAGTTGTTGTTCATTGGGTGGTACCAATGAATTAGCTAAATCATCACAGTGAATTAGCTCACCAGTGCTGTGTATCATGACAGCCTCCATCTTCCACTCCTGTGAGTCTGCATTGCAAACATTGTCACTGTGGGTGTGAACTGCTTGGTGGTGGTGGAAAACAACCTGCAGGGTAAAGCCTCCTCACCAGACTTTGACCTGAGAAACTGCAAGTCTTCTCAGCTTATCACTGTTAGTTAAGTGACTTGCATGTTTAAGGAAATAAAGTCTATGTCAAACTTGGTTAAAACTTGATATAGGTTAGTTTGAATTAAATTATTTGTATGCTCAAAATGAGGGGGAAAAAAAAGAACTTGAGAAAAATGTAGAATCTGAATTTGTATTAGGTTTTGTAGATACAGCTACTAGAGTAAAACAATATAATTAATGTTTATAATTTCAGCTTGTCAGCCAAAAATTAAAAGAATTTTATGATGTAAATTGTTCATCAGAAGATGTCTTGAACTTGGATTCCAGTACTGATGAAAAATTTAGTCGACACTTAATTTTTCTGCCGCAAAAGACTGTGTTTAAGGATAACACTCATATTGGTAAGTGTGTTCTTTTCTCTTACACCTAGAAATAAAAGGTGAGCTTTTGACTTTATACAGTGACAACTCCCATATGAGTATTTCTTTTAATGGAATGATATGTGGAAACAAATGTGTATTCTCAGCATACACATAATTACTCTATAGGAGTAATTAAGCCTCATTTTTTCTCATCTTCTACTTTCTTTTCCTATAATTAGCATGTGTTTACAAAACTGTAACTTTTTGGTGCCTGTATGTTTTATGTACAAAAATACTGATTTCTATGAAACTGGCAAGTCTATGGCTCCTTAATTTTCAGATTAATGTCAGTCTTAACAATTAAAGCTGCTGGGTTTTGCTCTAAATACAGTTAATTTCTGCTCAGCACTTTGTCAAAAAGGCAGGACAAAGATGATTTCAAGCCACCTGTGCATAAATCCGCTTAAGAGAAAGCTGAAAGCAATTTTAATTGTTTACATGAGTCAGGATTTCTCAGATATGGAAACTCCAACACAGAGAATTGCCAGTTTAGGGTTGTCTTGACTAATTTGTGGCCCAGTAGTCCTGTAATGAATTGAGGATGATGATTTTGATGCTTGATGTGCTGAGTCATTCTGCTGAGATGTAGCATGGGAGGAACAATATTTCATCTTCATTCATGTTCCCCATGGAAGCTTCATCCAACAGTGCAGAATCATCCTTGCCAGTATTCCTTCCACTTCATAGTTTTTTCCCCACATCTGTGTTTATTATCTTCTCTTGCTTTCTCCCTAGAACTAATTTGGCCATGGTTTTTATTTGTCTGTCTTTGGTTTCCATCTAGCAGAGCCTGGAGTTTTACAATGGGAGTTGAATTACAATACTGGGAGTTTGAAAAGTCATTACAAAATACTTCTGTAAAAGTAATTTTTTGTTTGAGTAAGCTTTGGTCAATCTCTTACATCAGTAAATACAACATTTCAATCATTCTGAAAGTGAAATTAGGGAAAGCAATACTGAGGGGACAGTCACAAGCTTTTTAGAATCCTAAACCTGAGCTTGTTAGTATTGAAGTTTTGGGGTTTTTTTAAGCTGTTTAGTACAAATTCTTTCAAGGCCACTGGCCAGAACCATTTTATACAGTGGGCTGGTCAAAAGATTTCTTTTTAAAAATCCAGAAGGGCTAAAAAATCCCTGAACTTCAACCACTTCCATCTTGGCTGTTTTGAAAAATGTTTGCACAGAAACTCTGTAAGTTCTTTCTTGACTCATAAATGACTTCTCCTGCTTGTGGCCTTTTTGGTTGTTTTTAAGGTAATTTTGTGAGAACCATTTTGCAGCCTGCCATAAGATCAATGCAGAGTAGGGCTGCTGTCATTCCAACAGAAGAAGCAGAGAATGTTTTCCAGTGTTCTGCAGGAGCTGGATTAGATAGTTCTCTTACAAACCTCCCAGCTGTTGAAGATGATTCTAAAGACAGGCCAGCCATTGCTCATGAAACAAAGGATGTGGAAATGCCAGACCGGGCAGAAAATTTGGATTTTTCCTTCCTAATAGTAAATGATAAAGAAGGCAACAAGCAGCTTTTTGTGGATCTAGGTAAGTATAAGTGTTTTTAAACCCCTTTGGGATGCAACAAAGGTTAAGAATGAAATGTTGCTTTATCTTTGATTAATGTTGTCCCTATGGTCAGACTTTAAATACATGCTGAAACTGCCATCATAAGTGCTGTGCTTTAAAGGAGCCTTAGATTCATGGTCTATGGAACTTCTTATATTACTACATTTAATTATTTTGTTCTGAAGTTTAAAGTAGTTCTTTCCACACAAGACAATTTTTTTTCCCTTAAGGGCTTAGTGCTCCCATTTGATTGGAAGAGGATAGCATCTATTGCATTTTTGTTATTTCAGTTGAATTAGAAGCTGCTTAATAAAAGAAGTCTTACAGGCTTGGCTTTCTGTATTCTTCTACATGTATGAATTGAGTCTTCTTTCCCTGTTTGGAATGGCAGCTGTTAGCTTTCAGTGATGAAATAATAGAAATTTTGGATTGGGCACTTCATGGCCCAGTTGGGCATAGCCTGTTCATGGTATTAAAATGTTACAAATCTCCAGGAGCATAACTCCCATAGTCAAACTAGAGTTTGAAAGTTCCATCCTTCTTTAACTCCATATCTGGGTTTTTTGCTTTTTGCCTTATCTCAGGGAAATGAAAATAGCTTAGCACACTTTTGCACAGCAGTGTGTTACACATTTCAGGACTTTACCTTGGGTTTTTTATTCAGACTCTTCTGAAGAACTTCCATTCCTTCAAATTCTTCTCATGGAATTCAGGATCACTTTTATTGTGGGCCTCTTCAGTATGTCTGATCTTTTGAAATGTAATCCCAAAGTTGGCTACAGTAGGCTTCTCTGTACTGAGTCAGAAAGGTTACTTTCACCCACTGTTCAAAATTCCTTCAAGCATATTTGTAAATGGAATTTAAATCAAAACAATTTGTTTCCTGTCTCGCTTTTTAAGAATTTGATGGTAGTTTCCCATAATTAACCACCCTCAGTATTTATGTTATGCACATTACCTCAGAATTGGAAAGCTAAAGTCAAAATTGCTGAACTACTGAATTATATCATGAGGCTGCAGTGACAGAAAGCTTTGTGATGTTCTTCTTGTATGAGCTCTGTAAGTGCTTTTCTCTTAATGAAAGTCAAATGCAACCTGCAAATAAAACTCACCTTCTCAATTAATTATTAGATAGATTGTGCAATGTTAAGATACCTGATTGTTGTTTTGTTGTTTTTGAGATTGGAATTAGGCTGTCTTTATACATGTCTCAGAAAAGCTGTGAAGAAGTCCACAGAAAACAGAAAGGTTGATTAAGTTCTTTCTGGTTAAAATAATTGTGCAGCTTTTTGGGCTCAGTTGTATTTCACAAAGTTATTGTGAAAGAACCAATTTGTTGTACTGAAGGGAAACTTTTAACAATTCGAATGTCAGAATGATTGAAATGCCTATGTAGAGGTGTTGAGCATTTGCCTTAATTATTCTGTAACATAAAAGTGTACATGTGTGCATGATCTTGCTGTGTTGCATTTCTTCTATGGGATGTGAGCCAGTCAGTTTTTGTCCATTCATTAGACTCTTAGCTGGGCCTAAGGAAAATGGTTTAATTTACAAGTGCTCAGTATCTTAATTCCTAGCCAGCACTGCTGTGTTAAGAAATATCTTTTTTCCTGTAGGAGTTTATACAAAGAATAGAAATTTCCGGATGTATAAGTCATCAAAAGCAGGAAAAAATGTGATTCTGAAGATAGCAGAGGATAATAAGTTTATCCCCAACTGTGAAAAGGATGTTTCCTTGGAAGAAGCATATTTTCTTTCCTCTTTAATCTGCAACGTTGGGTAATAACTTAATTCCAGTCAAATGTACATGGATAGAATAAAATATAGATAAAACATAGATAAAATATCTATTTTAATGATAATTCTCCTGTAGCAGTTACAAATAACTATTATGAATAAGCAGTTATTCAATTAACATTGTTACAGTGTAATTTAGGAGTTCCTAGTAAAATTTCTTAGTTTTGAAGAAAAAAATTTTTTGGTAGTCTTGTTATTTTGTTAAACCTGCCTTCAAATCTGTTACAGCCTCTGAATTGTGCCTCATTTTTCTATACACACTCAAAATGCCAAAACATAACCATTGTTAAGTTGGTCAGATTCTGTGTAGTTCTGGAAGCAAAACTTAACAGATTTCTAGTCAGTTAAATATGAGAATTCTGAATATGTTTCAAAGTAAGATAAGAAATAAAAGGGTTTCTGTCTGTGTTTTTTTGCATACCAGATTTCCCATTTGATGCAGACCCCTCCGTAGGCTGGGTACTTGTACAGACAATAATCAAGTTTTCTGTATCTAAACCTCTGATATGTCATACCTTATCTTAAAAAGATCCTAAACTGCTGTAGCAGAAAGGTTAAAATAGTATTAATATATTTATTGAAAACATGTATTTGTTGTGACTTCAGGTTTTATATCCTGAAGTGTTCATTATCCTGAGCTGATGCCAGTAAAGCACACAGTGTATTCAGACCATAGGCATCAGCTGAATCCACCATAAATATGGATGAGAAATTCTGCTGTGTTGAATTCAGACTTGTTATCATCTGGCTTCCAGTTAGCAATATGGCAGAGAAACAGTTCATTGTAGAGAGAGGGAAAAAGAAAAGAAACCTTCCAAAGGGTATATTTGCATCAATACTACATCTAGAGCACATCCTGCTGTAGGGGTGTGCAGCAGCAGTTGTTCAATGGGTGGGTCCTGGGACTCTGGCCAGGAACCAAATGTTGCTGCTGGGGAGGGGGAAGCCCTGTCCTGTGGTGGGAGTCAGGGAAACTGCCAAGGCCAGAAGGAAAGTGCTCCAGGAACAGGGAAAGGTGCACAGTGAATCACAGGCTGCTCAAGGTTGGCAGGGACCTCTGGGGGTCTCCTGGCTCACCCCTGGGCCCAGAGCTGTGTCCTGTTGTTCTACCCTGTTACAGGGAGTTATATTGTACTGTGTTATGCTGTAAGAATCTTACTCTTTGTATTCTCCCCTTCCTTTAGAGCGAGTGATGACATAAAAGTTCTGTCATCTGGCTTTTCAGAGGAGGAGAGAACAATGTCTGCTTTTTTAAACAGTAAAACTACCAGAAGCAGCAGAGGTACCTCAAGCCTTTACTACTGCATAGAAAAAAATACTCGTAATGTAGATGTTGTGTGACTTGTACACGTGGTAATTTCTGGGAGGGCCTTTCTGGAGGAGGCAGAGTCCATGTGCACTGAAGGATGCTCTGCAGCACCTGAATGCCACTGACCCTCCCTCCTGTGCCACAGCTGTCTTGCTTTGTCCCAGCTTCCTCTGCACCTTGGGCATGGGGGTGGCACTTTAAAGACCTACAAGAAAGCAACAGTGGCTTTCTCCCTGGTTTTATTTAAGAGTGTGATGTGATTCATGTACATTTTCTGCCTGTGGCCTATATAAAGTGTAAGTGTTCCAATGTCATATTACAGTGGAGAACCCTGTAACAGTGTGTGTTTGTGGCCTTTGGTTTTGCAGATCCCATGGAAGGTTACCAGGGTTCGCCATATCCAGAAATTGATAATTTTGTTCGTTCCTTGGTTAATAAAGATGGGCTACAAGGAGGTAAAGAGACCACCTTACATTTACAAATGACTGTTCTGCAGCACTATTTCTAAAGAATTTAAAGATTTTGGTTTTTTTCCTCAGGGATAAGACAATGGAGTTACTTCTCTCTCAAAGAACTACTTATTTATGATATTTCTGGTTACCGCTGGTGTGAAAATATTGGAAGAGCTCACAAAAGTAACAATATAATGTACGTTCTTTAACTATTCAGGTTTAAACAGCTTTATTTATTTTCCTGAGCAACTGTTATTCTCTAGAAATGCTGAAAAAACTCTTATGGATAGAATCAGCAACTGTTGCAACTTCTGCTGTCTTGCTCTGTGGGGATACAATGTTTTAATTATAAAAAGCCCCACAAAACCCAAAGAAACGATTTATGCCCTCCCCAAGTTTACTTTGTGATAACTGGACTTTTATTTCCACTAATTCTTTGCAGTAATCTTCATGGTATTTAAAATATGGGCCCAAAGATGCTAATATAAAAGTCAGAGTATATTAAAGCTATTAAACAATACTATGTTTTGATACTTCCCAGATAGGAAGCTGAAAAATAAGAAAGCAAGCAGATTGCTTTTAAATTAATTTACAGTGCTTCTTAAATTACATTCTTACATTATTAAAATGACTCTATCATTTTAACAATTGAGAATTGCTGTTTTAGAATGGTAATTCCTGCCACATGAATCAAGATGAGTTTTGCTAGTTACTCTACAAGGAGTCAGGCTTCCTAGTTTTAGCAAAATAAATGATGGAAAGTCAGTTTTTTAGATTATATTAGAATTATGGTGTATAATTAGTATAAATATTTTAACTTAGAAATAATTTTATGTAACATTTAAAATCACTGAAACATAAGAAATGTGTTTCTGAGAAACAAAGATTTTCAAAAAACCCCACATCTGGATGAACTTGCTGTTTCTCAAGTGAGTTGCTTGAAGTTTGGTTTTTCTAAAGCACAGTTGAAAAAGCTGGGTGGCCTATCAGCTGACAGAAAATAGTGATTTCATGTGGCTTTTATAATTTCATTATCTGTAACAGCAGCAGCAGCAACAAAATCTTATCTTACAGTCAAGTGCTATATGCCAATCTTAATTTGATGACTTTCTCTTAATGTAAGAGAAGCTTAATGTAATGACATTGACTAAATTTCACTTTCAGATGTTAGTCTTAAAAATTTATTTCTTTAAACTTAAGAAATCTGAAGTTTACTAAAAATTGTACAAAACAAGTACATAGTAAGTATGCCAAGGCTATGAAAGCAATGTCCCTAGCTGAGGATGAACAAAACCTGTTCATTTAGTGTTAGAGTTTCCTACCATATGAATTCAGTTCATTTATGTACTGACACTAAAAAACGAAATAATTTCCTTCTTAGGATTCTGGTAGATCTAAAGAATGAAGTCTGGTATCAAAAGTGTCACGATCCTGTCTGCAGAGAACAAAACTTCAAATCACAAAGTATGTAGCCTGTGATCTCAATTATACTTCATACATTTTGGAATGTTAACTTTAATGAATGTCTTATATTTGATTTAGGTTTCCCATTGCCGCCTGGGATATGCCTCCCTTCTCTTTTCAAAGAGGTACGTTTTTGTCCTGGTGAGATGCTCAGGTTCTTGTTAGGCTCTGGAAGTCCTTGGATATTCCCACTAACATCCCAGTCTGCTGGGAGAGCCCCACACATTGTTCCAATGGTATAGGAGAGGTTCCCAGAGCAGCTGTGCTGGTGTGGTAGCTCCATATATTCATTTTTAAGTTCTGCAGCAGTGCTAAGTTACTGAAATTGTCTGACTTCCCCTGGGACTCAAGACTTTCTGTTCTGATGTGAGCAGCAGTTCCCAATGTCCAAGCCACAAGGTTGCTCCAGGTGCAGAACAGAGAAACTGCCCAAGTTTAGCTGTGCTGTGCATGTCTGACTTCATGCAAAATAGAACAGAAGTGGTTCTGGAACACTGGTGTCAGTCAGAGCCAAATGAAGGCAGCGACCCTCATTTCTGAAATTCATTTATCTCCACTGTCGTGTACTAAAGCAGCACGTTTCCCCAGACAGGCAGAATGTTTAAACTGACCTGATCCTGCACCTAGACTCTAGGTGAACTCCTTGAACAGACAAGTTTTTCCAGTGCTTAGGCAATAACAATTGGTATTTTTTCAACTTTTAAATTTAACTATACAGCTCTAAATATCATACAGCAGAATGGCACCTTAAGCTCTACACAAGCAGCTCATCAATAACTATTCATTTTCAGAAAGTGTCATTTAACTGTATTTTCAGGTCCTGACAGTATCTTTGAACAGACACTTAAGTTAGTCTTAACTTTATATTATTTTATGAAGCTGTATTCAACAGGCTACTTGTAGGGTGCTAGAAAAACAGTGGATTTCTACTCCTATTAAAATAGGCTTCCACAGGTTAATGTGGCTATATATAATATGCTGAAAGTCTTGTAGTGTTGGCCAACTTTCTGCAGTGTCCATTCTGTGTGACAGCACAAACTCCAAACTTGCAGAGCAGTTGAAGGTATCAAGAGTATTTGCATATGAAATGAGTAGTGTTGTTGTTTCTCAAAGGAAGAAGAGTCCATGCTAATGGATGACAGGGGGCACACAGAAGGAAAAGTACATCCACATTCTCATGTGTCAGACTTGTCAAAAAGCTCAGTATCTCCAGAGACCAGCTGGTCTCAGGACTTCCTGTTGTCAGACAGTGAGTGGGAAAACACAAGTGATGATGCCTGTTTCCTAGAAGCTGTTGAAGATGTGGAACTAGCTGAAGCTGCAGATGACAGTCTGAATTATGGCATGGAAGAAATCCCAGATGAAGTTCTTTTGGAAGCTTTAGGGAAAGAAGACCTCCACACTAAAGAAGGCAGCTAAGCACAGGCCTGGCCAGCAGTGAATGACACTTGTGTGGCTCATGCTGGTGTGAAAGGTCCTGCAGGGTGGTTCACAGGCACCACTCCAGAGCTGCAGGACAAAGAATGGAGTGCCCAGTGAACTTCAGCAGGCGTGAGGAGATCATGGAAGGCTACGTGGGGGCTGAAGAGAACGGGACTAGAATACTCATTAGGAATGCTGCTCCAAGCTCAGCACTTTTAATGCTCTTTGCTGCACAGTTTCTGTTTTGTTAGTTGTATGTCCAAGTTTTATTGAGAAGCCAACAAAGCCTTATTTCCATAAAAAAAGATTAAATTATTTATCAAATGCAAATTTAATAAAAATATTTGTTTATTCATCTTTGTTGAACCAGAGTCTGTGTTCTCTTTATGAATATAGTCTTCTCAAGATTAATAGGACAAGATTAACACCCAACATTGTTCAGAGTACAGAAGTGTTTTATTAACTGTGAGCACTATTTCCTTTCATTGATATTGTGAGACTATTTGACAATAAAAAGTTGCTGACTTCTTTTAAACACTGAAACAAAATAGAGTAACAATGATTAAACAAGCTTTAAGCACTGACAATTCTAATAACTGTTCCTACTGAATGTCTGAAAGTCTTAAAAGGCCATTTAATTTTTCTTTGATTTCTGCTCTTTTTGTGCAGCCAGAGCCTCTTCAAGTTTCATATTGATACTCTTAAAGTGCCTTTCTGCTCCTAGAATTCTCCGAGACTCCAGCAGAAGAGCAGGGAGGCTGGAAGTTCCATACTGTTGGTAAGGAAATAAAATTACAAGGCAACATTTTTAGCTCTTGGAAAGATCACTTACATATCAGTATTTATTTTTCCTCTAAAGTGGTGCAAGATGACCTTTAAAAGTGAACAGCCAAAATTAGAGTGCCTTCTGAAATGTGAGGGTTTCCCTTGCACAGGGCAGGTGTGTAAGCCTTCTCCACAGAAAATACCACGCCAGGTGCTGGGTACAACAGGGATGGATTCTAAGGCTACATGAGAAGTTACTCTGGTCATGACATACCAGCACTGTTCTCAGCATTAAATATCTTACATGGAACTGCCAGAGCTTTCCCTACTTCTGAACAACAACACAAAAAATTCATTACTTCTTGATTAAAGAAATTAATTAATTACTTCTTGATTGAAGATTAACTCACTGTTAATCTTCAATTTCTATTAAAAAAAGGACAACTAGGGACAACTGCTTTATTTCTATGTCCTTTGAATTCCTGGATACTGAGAGCAAGGCAGCAGAATCTGCTCTGAAATACTCCAGCTTCTAATATGAGACCAAAAAAACAAGTGAGATACTACAGTAAAGTTCAGCAGTGATTCTCAAGCTGCTTCCACAAAGACAATTAACATAATACTACTACTTAAGAGATGTTAATAGAGAAATGTCATAAATTAAAATAAAAACTTGGAAAACTGAAACACATGCAGAATATGTACTTACTACCACTTTTTTTTTGGGGTTTTCTTCTCTATAATCCAAACAGTCTTGCTGTAGCTCCTTTAAATCAGTAATTAATTCAATTGTTTGCCTCAAGGAAGATTTCCTTTCCTGTAACTCAGCAAATTCTCTTTGTAGTTGCGTCAGTTGCGGTTCAGCTCTGAAAGAATATCAAGACTTTGATGCTTACATCTGCATATTTATTGCATGAATAACTATGTGACCCTATTTCCTCTGAAGGAATTCTTAAAAGGTTGGTCAGAAACACAAAACACAGCTTACTATAGAATAGTGCTTAGGTAGAACAAGCATAGTACTTAAACAGGGGCATGAGTCCAAATACACCAAAAAGACCCAAACCTCTCTTCTGAGTCTGCCGCTCTTTTCTTAAGCATTTATGTTCTTGAAGCGTAGTTTCTTAAATACAAGGTGTTGTGCTTCTGCACACCCCTGCCTGCAAAGCTGTTGGTCAGTGCTTATGCTGAAGCATATTCAGGATCTACAAACTAGCTACACCTCTGCTAAATAAACTGCAGTGCTTAATCCGTTAAAGTGGCGCTCCAAGAACAGAGCACCAACAGTGATTTTCATATAACAGGGTTGCAGGAAAAAAAAACTAAAATGATCAAAAGATTAAAACACAACATATAAAAATGTGCAGACAGCTTTCAGGGCTTCAAATAGTTCTTTGAGAAAAGTTTGTCCATAGGACTACAAAGAAAAACACCTCTCATGGCCATAGAGAAAAGGTTTTTGCCCTGTTATTGTGGATCCAAGCCCGTGGTTCCCTAGAGTTACCTTACAGGGGGTGTGTTAAATGCAGCTTCAGTACAAAGCTTGTCACCAGCAACCCGAGGGCTTTGGGGAAGTCTAATGGTTCTTCCAACCACATAATTCCTGTGCTGGGTATCTAAATGACACTTAAGATTAATGCCAAGTTAGAGAGTGGCAATTGTGTGGCCACATGAGAAGGAAATAAGCCATGTACTAAGAGTAACCCCTGCCCACCTGCAGAGCTGAAATACACTCTCCCACCTCAAAAGCAAAGAAGTCCTCTGCATTACCTTTGTAATTTATGATCCAGCACCTCTGCAATTCAAATCCTAACACTGGTGTTCTTCCTGTCAACATATGGTGAGAAACACCCTCCCAGTAACTAGTCAGCTAAAAGAGCTTGCAAGAATGACTGCCTAGACAACTGAAATATGTAAAGGAGAGGTTATCACGAGCTTATGTAAAAACAAAAAGCAAAGTGGCAATTTCATCAAAATAAAATGAGAGAACAAAAGAAGTTACTTTCCCTTCCGAGTTACAAAATACCAGACTCTTTAAGTTCTTCAGGCTATTATTGTCCATTGTTAGATACACACCCAATTAGCTCTTCTCTGACTTGCACCAGTTGCTGCCTTTTCTTTTTGATGTTGGCTATTGCCTGAAACAAACAGTGAGCAAAGTCTGTGAAACAGTTTCTAAAACTTCAAAGGCAAACAACTCAAATTTCATTGCCTTTTTTTTCCTCTGAAGTTTTATGCTGATTGTCATTGTGGAAAATTGTAAGATACCAGATCTGATAAACGGCCATATGTTACAACTCTATTTGAAACAATTTAAAGCTGTTTAAAGTGTCAAACTGTAATCTCCATCCAAAAGTTTTCTTAAGAAACATTGGATTTACAAGCATAAAAAAGCAGTTTGTGACTTTTTCATTTCAAACATTACAAACTCTAGGAGGTTTTAGGTTTAAAGATGAAAATTAATGCGAATGTATGTTCAAGATGATTGCCATAACTAAGTAAGCTTTCTTTAATATAACATGCAATTTAAAAAAAAGCAACACCCAAAACTCATAATTTAAATTTAGCAACTAAAAATTTAATTTTAAACAAATGTCTAAGAAGCAAACTAAGGATAAATCTGAGTGGCTGTGAATGTTAGGTGTGTATTAAGATTTTCATTTCACATGCAGAGCAGTTTACCATATCACCCCAAGTCAACAAGGCTTTAGCATATTAATTGCTGCTTCCCAGGATAAGCTTTATCTTGACTATTTGTTAAAGCTATTTTGCCATTGAACATTCTGCAGAGGATGTTAACTTGGGCAGAAATCCAGACAGTGCCTAAGCTGCTCTGAAATCTCTCTTCTGTAGGGCATTCACCTCTCCCTGATGAAACCACTGCAATGTTTTTATGCCCTTACACTAGTGCCTCCTTCTGACAACATTCCTATTGCATTTTCAGCAAATTCCTACTTGCTATAAATGAAGAGAGGAACTGTCTTCCTCTGAACAAAAATTCTGCATCTATTTAGGGAATGCAGCTGCCTGAGTCTTCCCTTCTTTAAATTAAGCAATCCCATTCTATCCTCACAGGTTTCTATCTCTGCTGCTCTCCTAGATTTTATATTCATTTATGTTTCTTTAAGGTTAGCTCTCATTATTTAACTGGCTCTCCAGAGGCCTCACTCATTAAAAAAAAAACAACCAAAAAGCCAAAAGAGTAATTGACATGCACAGATCTTACCCATCCTAATGTGCACTCATTCTTTTTACACCATATAGCAGTACACATCTGGAGTTTGCAATCCACCACATTTACTCAGATCTATTCCAAAAATCCTCCTGTGGTTCCCTAACCTCTGTTTGTGCAGTTGATTCTGAGTACAGTACACCTTTCTGGAAATTATTTTATCTCTTCCAGTCAAGTTGTCAACATTTCAATGCCCACAACTGTATGCTCTACAATCTAGTGATATGTATGTGCTTACCTTAGCATTTTTCTTCTTCATATTCTTTAATTCCTGGACTCCTGCTATCTACAGAGAAGAATTATAGGTTGACAGGTCATCACTATCCTCCTAAAAACATGGCTGCAATAATTACTTTGGAATATCATAAAAAGTTGTTTTTTTTTTTATTTTTAAAAAAACCAACCCTGGTTCAAATGGACATCACCAGTTGTGTATTGACTCTTTCTCCTCATGCCAGAGGAAAACTGTTGCACAAAACGAGCTTGTGCAAATAATACTCCTTGTACCAATTCTTGTAATATTACCTTCCTTAATTTTTCTATATCTTTATATAGATGTATAAATCTGGTAATCCCAACACTTGTTACTGCTAATGAACCACTCAGAACTACAGCTTTAGTACTTGGCCACTGCACTTGGCACAAGTCCTGCAAAGTTCTGAGTTCATTTTACTCATCAGAATCACCTTGATCTTTCCTGCCAATAAATCACAGCATGGCTCAGGCTGGAAGGGACCACAGTGGTCACCTGGTCCAACCTCCCTGCTCAAGCAGGGTCATCCTAGAGCACGTGGCACAGGATTGTGTCCAGATGGCTCTTGAATGACTTACAGTTATGTTCAAAATGTTAATTAAAAAAGGATGATTTTCCCTGGAATATGTTAGAGGTCTTACTAAGAAGTCACTGAGACAGCACAAAAATTAAACCCACCTTTTAAACTTCTAGTCAATGAGCTTTGAAAGCAGTGTTTGACATAGCTGTATGCTCATCTAAATGATGCAGCTCACCAGTTTTACTACATAATGATTTAAAT